AGGACAAAATCACCACTCGGGGGTGGAATGTTTGGTTTACAATACCTAGTTCCAAGAATACATTGCTTCAATGCTTGGGGAAGAAGTGCGTGTTAAAAAGGAAATCACATACTGGAAGAGGTACAGGACAAACCAAACACTACTGTGCCAGTGGGAAATCCATACTATAAATATGAAACTGTATGCACTTCTAGATCCTTCATCTCCAAAACAGTATATTAAAAAACCCAGGAAAAGCTAGAAGAATGACAACGAATATGGTAGGTTTGGAATAGCCTTCACAGGAGCAGCGACTGCATAGCTGTGCAGTTGTGGTAAACACCTCACTTAGGAGATACATTTGGGAAGCATACAAATGTCTGGGTATCAAGAGGATGGATAGCGGTGAATTCTTTACTATCCCTTCTACTAAAATACAGGAGCCAAGGATCATCAGATGAAGTCAGAAGGAGGCAGTTTAAGAAGAAAAAGAATTGGATCTTCATAAACGGGTAGTAAACCCTGGGAAAAGCTTGAACATACTCAAGGGAAGATGAGAAATACTTGGGAAAGAAATTATTTGAGAATTACTAAATAACAACACTCAGGATCACGAAATTGCCTGAACTGAAAATAGTTGGAGGTTAAATATCACACATGCTTCCTTTGCTTTGCTCTTCCCTACACGTCCACTTAAAGGAATCACTGCAGGCAAGCTAAGGTACAAGACTGAGCCTTGGCCCAAACCACTGCCATTGTAGAGCACTAAATCTAAATCTAGTTTAATTCTAGGTGTTTGTTTCTATATCATATCGATACAAAATCACTAAATGAACCCTGTTGTGCTTTCACAAGTGAATGGTTTGGCCATGTATTATTAGACTACTCTTTATGCAGAGTTCTGAAACTTTGTTTATGAGCTCAACACAGATATTAAAGAATTCAGTAGAGACGTGAAGGTAAAAAGTCAAAGTGCCTTTTGTTGGGGGTAGGAGAGGGTGTCCTGGGTTTGAAGTGCAGGAACATTCTGGAATTTTAAGTCAGTCATTTCTAAAGCTAATTAAAAATCTTACTGTTCTAAGCAGGAAGAAGCAGTTTTAAATAAGCTGAAAATGCATTTAAACTGCTGTAATATAAGAGTCTGACTCCTGCTAAGCAGAGTAAAGTTACTTCCGATGGTGCAAACATCTGATGTCAGTGATTCTGCCTTCCTTGCAAACACAATGTTCCCAGAAAATGTCTACAAAAGCAAGCTTTTTGGTGTGACAAGAACAGATTAACATACTAGAGCACTGATGCTCCTGTACCTACACAACATTGGGTTTGGTTGTTTTACTTTGGGCTAAGTGTTGTCCAGGCTCCATAACAGAACGCACCCATGTGTAAGATTTGAGACTCTTCAAACGACCAACCTCTCATTTGGAACCCTGCTTCCCTATTCGGGTATGGGTATGCTTGGCCTGCAGCTGGAGATCACCTTCTGGTTTCATTTCCTCCTGGAAGAATCAAGATCTGACCCAATGGGCTGCAAGGCATGACCTCGGACTGAAAGAAAGGAAAGTGTTAATAGCTTCTCAGCTTGTTACCTTGAGCATCTATTATGGACAGAAGTTCTGCAAGAGAAAGGAAAAGAGGTTTATCCTCATCAGTAGGGTGTAAGAGGTCAAATCACCAGCTGACAGGCACTGGCACTGAGAGAGGAGTTAATGGAACTTTAATGAGTGAGCTGGGCTAATAATCACACATCTACCTGGCTTCTGAATTGCCTTTATGATAGGAATGTAATTTTAAGCCATCTCATTCTGAAAGATCTGAAAATTTGTACATTCTCATTGAGGATAATACTAATTGTCAAATCTGTAGTGAATTAAAAGTAACAGGATTTTAAAGATTAGGAACATTTGTGCTTCTCCCATTCAAACGCCCAATTATCTATCATCTGTGCTGAAAAAAATCAACCAGCCATTGAACTTTAAACGCCTTTTGTTAGGAATAGAATCAGAGACCTGTCTTCATTAGTATTAGTAAAGTGCTTTAAGGCTTATCAAAAAGGACTGTAGCAATAGAAGTACTTAGTAAAATGAGAGACGACTAACACATGAATATTTTCCTTAAACTCTAATCAGTGCACAATGATAATCTTCTTTTCTAAATGCAGTGGTACAGATGTTACCTAGGGAGCTCATAGAGAACTCTCTGAATTCAGCTACTCATGTACACAGTTCTGCAAAATAGCTGCTAGGGCTAAGAGAATGAATTACTAATAAATGCCCACTGAAATAAAAAGGATGTTTACCATATAAGCATTCTAACGGCTAACCTGACTTTTCCCTGGAAGAACATTTCTGTTATAGGAATTTAACCCATGGGCACATATAATTAGCTCTTCCACCCTAAAGTTGCTGATAGAATTATTTGCTTAAGAAGATTAGTCCTTTTAGTGTTCAATAGAAGTACTGACAAATGAGCCTAACATGATTATAGGTGAACTCTTTTAACACCATCTTCTGATCTTTTATCTTAAAAGAGTGTGCCTTTCAATCAAAAAACCTTTTAGTCTAACCTTTTGTGTTTTTCCACATCAAGGCTCAACTTTCAATACTTCCTGTATTCAAATCTTGTATGTGATGAGGCGGTTTTCAAGACTCTTTTGAGCCACATGGAGGATGACCAGAATAGTCTCTTTAAATAGAACTTCAGTGCTACCTTATTTCTTCTGGTCATTGTAACTGCATGCAGCTTTCTGTCTGCACTGGAGCACTTTACCATGTCAGTGCTGACAAGACAACTCTTTTTGAGCTCTGTTCTACCAACTTTACTTGAGTTAAAAATTATTTTCCAGAAGGGGGGCAGGGTTTAAGGGCAGGTAGAAGACAGAAGAGGTGATACTGAAAAGCAAAGACAGGAACAAAGCTGTCTCAGATGGGTTATGGCAGGGAAATGGATTTTTCCATCAGTTTGCCTGCATACCATAAACTTGAAGTAGATTAAGCACTGTAATAGAGCAAGCATTGCACTTCACCTACAATGACTCTGCAGCTATTGTTTGCATGGCAGTCTATTTCCCCATATAAAAGCTAAGGATCAAATTTTGAATTACTGATACAGACTTACAGAGTAATCCCCTTTTTTAAGGTATGGAATTATCTGGATCCTTCATTACTACACAGTTTTATAAAAGCATTGAAATTATGTGAATTATATTTCTATTTTTCCTATTAATGTAATTCTCAAGCTTGAGAAATTTATCATACTCAGCTGTTAGCATTAATTGAAAAATGGTTGTCATAAACAGAAATCAATTTATATTATTAATTTCTGCTCATTAAAAATGAGTAGACCTTCCCATTTTAGTTTTAAGTCATGTTGCCATCTACAGGTTGAATAAGCACTTGCAATACTGTGCTTAGGATAACAGGGCAATCCAGGTTGGAAGGTCTCTGGTCCCTAGTTCAACCGCCTCCACAAAACAGGGCTGTCTCTGAGATCAGCCCTGGCTGCTGTTATGATTTAAGCCCAGCTAGAAATTCAGCAGTGGAAACTGCTCGCTCACCTTCCTCTTTCTCCCCCCCTACCCCAGTGGAATGGAGAAGAGAATCAAAGTAAAACTTGTAGGTTGAGATAAGAACAGCTTAAGAATTGAAAATAAAGTAAAAGACAGTAATAATAGAAAATTATAACAATAATGATAATAAAAAGGGAAAACCCAAGTGATGCAAAATGCAATTGCTCATCACTTGCTGTCCAATGCCAGACACCCCTGCCCAAGCCCAGATGAGTTTCCCTTCCAGGTAACTCCCACCAGTTTTTACACTGGGCATGACATTCTATGGTGTGGAACATCCCTTCAGTCAGTTTGGGTCACCTGTCTTAGCTATGCTCCCCCTAAATTCTTTTGCATACCTCCTCACAGGCAGAGGAGGTATAAGACAAGTAAAAAGTTCTTAAGATAAACACAACTTAGAAAAAACCCCCCAAACATCAATGTGTTATCAATTCCATTCTCATTCTGAATCCAAAACACAGCACTGAACAGCTACTGAGAAGAAATTAATCCTACCCTAGCTGAGACCAGGACAGTTGCTCAGAGATTTGTTCCATTTGGTCTTAAAAACCTCCTCAGATGGAATCTGCACAGCCTCTGGGCAATCTGTTCCACTGTCCTCACAGGAAAAGTCTTTCTTTTTACCCAAACTGAATCTTATTTCAACTTTATGCTCGTTGTCTCTTGTTCTCCTGTGAGGAACTGGATTTTTGAATTGCCTTAAAACACTGCTGCTGTAGCAAGCTGTGCAAAGAAGCCTCCTGCCAGGAGATTGAAGATAAAGGCTGAGGGGAGGAGACTATAGCCTACAGTTAATTTTGTGGAGGCCTGGTGGCAAGTCTTCAGGTGTGTCTCTGGGCCTGTGATGCGTATATAAAGGAGGGCAGTGGTGAGTCTCTGGGTGTGTGATGCTTATCTCCTACAAGCCAGGCTATCTCAAAAAACACCCTCAGTGCACACACCTACCACTACCCCAGAGAAGGCCCCACTTTTACCAGGGGATGCCTCCGAATCCCACACACCACCCTCCTCCAGCATATATGACTGTGCAAAACCCAGCACCTACAACCTCTGACTCATTCCTGCAAAGCCAGCATGACTGTGCAAAAACAGCAACTCCCCCTCACACACAGGGAAGGTACCAGGAGGGTTTCTGAGGGTATATAAACCCACCAAGACTTCATGTTTTGCAGGCTTCTTTCACTATCGCTCCCTGATGGACCAAGACACCAGCAACAACCACCAAGTCCATAAGAGACCTCTGGGTGGTGAACACGAACTTTAATCTTTCCCTCTCTTTCTCTCTTTTCCTTTACACATTTTTTGGGTGATATCTTTATGCCTTTATACTGTGACATTATGCCTTTATATTGTGACATTACTATAGATGATAACTACCAAAACAGCTATATACCTGTTTTCCTTTGTAAATTGTTCTAAAATAAACCCTATATCTATATGTATCTGTAAACACCAATTATCTGGTTTAGATTTACTTTATTCACTCCAAGGGATTTATTGGCAGAAAAACAAAAGCTACTTCTGTCTTCCAGAGTGGAACATAACACCTCCTGCCACACTATGAAGAGCCTAGCTCCATCTTTTTGCTAACCTCCTCATAGATACTGGAGAGCTGTTGGTTCCCCCCCCGAAAATATCTTCTCCAAGCTGAAGAGGCCCAGTTCCTTCTGCATGTCCTCAGCACCAAGGGCTCCAGTCCTGTAATAGCTGAGAGGCCCTGTGCTGAACTTGGTCCAGTTTATTTCTCTTTTTCTTGTGCTAGGAACCAAAACTGAATGTAGAGGTTAAATGTGATCCAACAAGCACTGAAAAATGAGATGTAATATCTTCCCTTGACCTACTGGTTGTGCCCCTGTTAACAAAATCCAGGAGGCTCTTGGTCATTTGTGCCGCCAAGGCACACAGCTGACTCATGTTGGGCCACCCACCAGGTTCCTGGAGCCATTCCTGCAGAGCTGCTCCCCAGCCTGGGCTGCTGCATGGGTGCTTCCTTCCCACAGGCAGCACTTTGCATTTGTTCTTCCTGAATGTCATATGGTTCCTGCTGGCCTGTTCCTTCAGCATGTCTCGGTTGCCCTGAACAGCAGCCTGATCCTCCACAATATCCATTTGATCCCTTAATCTGGTGTCACCTGCAGGGTCGATGAAGGTAAACTCCATTCCCTTGTCCAGGTTACTGACAAAGACATTAAACAGGATGGGGCCCAGAAGATACCCCAGTGATACTCCAGGTAGAAGATGACCTGTTAACCACTACTCCCTGAGCCTCATCATCCACTTTTTACCCATCTGGTTGTCCACTCACCCAAACCAAAACATCCTAACTTGGTTTCAAAAATATTGTGGGACAGTGCCAAACACCTTGCTAAAGTTAAGGTAAATTATATTTTTTTTGTTCTCCACCGTTTCACAAATGCACTCATTTTTATCACAGTTAATGGCCTCTTTTTTTATTTTTAATCAAGAAAAAAATAGAAAAGTTTTTTTTTCCAGAGTTGGTTCCATTAATAATTTTCGTGCTAGCATAAGGCTTCACAGTAACAGGAACAGACTCTTTATCCTGTAAACAATATAACATAGTTTTGGTTTTATTATAAATGGTTTTTCAGTGATGTTAAGTAACCGCCTCATCTTGAGGAGCTTACTGGAAAAGGCACTGACAACTGTGCACTACTTTATACTGGAACCCTTAGCATTGACTTAAGTTGGGGCATTCATCAAATGTCTGATAAAGTAAACAGATGATTTGTCACTGTCGACTAAGGACTTTTACCTTTTAACATTAAGTGCCTAAATAAAATAAAATCACAATACGTTTAGTGAACCTCAGTACAATAACTATTCAGTTTGATACCTGTAGGCTGCAAACTTCTAACATTATTGCTTGAACAGGATTTAGTATAAAACATTAAAAAAACCCACTATGAAATACAAGATACATTTGTGTGCTGTGAATACTTTTCCAGGATTTAACTTTGCAAGTCAGATATCTATGCAAAGAGGAAATTCATGCTAGCTGCCCATGGTTTCTTTAAGATCTGTTAGACTTGCCTGGTATAACATACAGCTTTACCCCAATGCTTCGCATTTAAAGGATTTTCATAAGTTTTTTTCCTAATCTGTATGAATCTTAGTCTACAAATTTTTCCTGTTCATGACTTGAACCTGTTATTCTCCCTTATGTTCTTGGCATTACACATAAAATATCCACATTGTACAATATTCCTGTAATCTTTCATGAAGTGGAATCTTAAAAGTCACATTTCATTATTTCTCTCAGACAGACTGTTGCATAACATGAAGGATCAAGGTCAAACGATATATGAAGAGAGACTTTTAAATCATTCAGATGGTTGTTCTCAATTTTGATCCCTTTTTCATCACCTTCCAAAAAATAAGACAGATTCTGAACATTCTTCAAAATGAGTCTGTAGCATCCAGGTATATTCAGCTGTAATGAAGACACTCTGAATTTGCACATTTCCAGCTCATCCTTAGAAAGTCTTTCACGGTACCACTGCCCAACTTTATTATTGGGATACTTGATACTATGTCCCACCATTGGAAGAACCACCTTCAAAGAAAAAAAAAACAAAAAAACAAACATATCTGAAATAACACCCATTCTCCTTTAAATACATGTAATAACAGTGTTTTTGAACCTTGTGTTTTTTGGGGCCTGAAACAGTAAACCGGAGCACTGCAGGTATGTCAAATGCAATTAATGCAGAAAAAAATAATTAATGTATCAGGATTCCTACAACAAACTAGGAACACATTAAAATGAATTTCCTTGCTTGTTGGGAAAGATACAACAATAAAGACATTCAGTTGCCATGTAAGACTACACAACTACACACTCTGAAACCTTAAAAAATTAGAATGCCTACTATTTTTGAAATTTTTTCAGGCCAGTAGACTGAAAAATTTTCAAAGTATTCAGCTTCATGATAAATATTGCCATACTGCAAATGACACTACACTTATTTCCATTACAAAGGAAATTTGTTATGAGAGTGAAGTTTGTTTACATATGTTTTCTTTAATATGCATTCTGGCAGGGAAGAAGACTATACCAGTTAAAATAATCACATTTTATTTAAAACAAAACATTTTAATGAAATAAAGAGATCAACAACTCAGAATTTTTCATGCAGACTTACTTGGTATATAGAATACTTTGTAGCTGACTCTTCTGAAGCAGTGACTACATGAACCTGACAAGACATTTAAGAAGTTAAGAAAAAATCACCAATTTTTTAAAAAGTAAAAACATATACTTTGTTTTAGGAATTGAGCATTGTACTCCCTAACTTGTAAAGGACTCTAATGTTATTTGACTGCTACAAGGACAATAAACTCTTTCAGGTATGGAAAAAATCTTAAGATATGCTTAATATAAAGTAATTAGTTTACTGATAGATGGCATTGCAATAGATATTTACTGATGCTGGCTACCACTAATATTCTTTGAGTCTGAAGTTAACTAAGTCAATGCAACCTTCTTTTGCATCAGCAAAAGCAAAAATATGAAGAAAAATGTTCTATATTAAATAGGAACATATTTACATAAAACTCAGTAACTCAATACTGAATTTGATACCTCTGCTTTTAATTTCATTTGATACACTTTTTTATTAACATTCATTCTCAAAAATATTGTTAAAGAAAAATCTCAGTGGAAACAGAATCCACTCCATAGGGACTGGAGGTTACCTTCCAAGTGCTTTTGCCTTTTTAAGAGATTAATCCAAAAGAAATTAATTCCATTCTGCCTATTCACACTCCTGTTAATTCTGCAGTAGAACACTGCACAGTTCTCTGATTTATCTGATGACCAGGACTAAGACATAATCATAGAACCATCAAAGTTGGAAAAGACTGAGTCCAGCTGTAAACCTAAGCACCACCCAGTCCACAACTAAACCCTCATCACACACTTCCAAAGATAGTGTCTCAATCACTTCCTTGTGCATTCTTTCCAGTGCTTGATAAGCCTTTCGGTGAAGAATTTTTCCTAAGACCCAATCTAAACTTCTCTGTCACAACTTGAGGCCATTTCCTCTTGTCCTATCAGTTGCTACTTGGGAGAAGAGACCCAGTTGCTTTCTCAGCAAGGTATGCCAACCCTAAACGAAGAGATGGCTTCAGAATGGACTTCAGCATGCCAAAAACCTGGTACCAAACACTCCTGCTGGATTCTGCTCATTGGCTCACCCATGGCTACATGCACAGCTCCCAGGTTGTGCTGTGGGCAACCAGAAGCACCCCCTGCCCCCTTACTACTTTCCCAAGACTGCTACATTTTCTACATAGAATAAATGTAATTATTATTATTACATTTTCTACATAGAATAGCTGCTAACAGTTTAGACCCACAATCAGAGAAATTGTGCTAAACATGCTTTGCCTTTTTAGATGCAACGAGATTTAGCAGTTCAGTCTGAGGCCACCTTTCACCACTGGCTTACACTCAGGAACGTATATAATGGGAAAGCCTGACCTGGGAGCAAGACTCAGATCTGCACTGACTAGTAATACAGGCACACCCAGAGTTCACTCTGAAGGGTTTCCCCAGTCAGATCCTAAGAAGAGCATGATATACACCATGTAGACTAAATTCTCACATGCATCAGTTCTGACATTCTGTTCCTTCTTCCCACTTGAATAAAATGAACAGCCGAAACAGATAAAAGCTGCTAATATATGTCTAGCTCATACGTCTGTTTATGGTAAAACAAAAAAAAAGCTAGATTGTATTTTTCAACTTTGTCACTAATATTAAATATTTTAAGGAATGAACCAAAATAAAGGCTTTAGTGTATGTCTGAGTATGCATTCAAGGGTATTAAGTTGGTTGGGGTTTTTTGGTTTTGTTTGTGATTTTTTTTGGTTTTTTTTTTTTTGTTTTTTATACAAGAAACTACTTTGGGAAGACTCACCTTGTCATTCAGGGAAATGCTTTTATCATTTTCTTCTGAGAGGACAAGATCACCCTCAACCACCTTTAAGCCATAAATCTTCAGCCTATATGATGCTGCTTCATTCCAAATTTTACTGCAATAAGCATGGACATAGAATATGCGCAAGGAATGAGGAATGTTGAGCCATCCTTTGGTACAACCTTCATGATTTACACCATAGCGATTTAAAGCTCGTAGTAACATCTTCTCTCTTATTTTAAATTCTGGCAGCATCACAAGCGTGCCCTTTGCATCTTCTGGTATAAACAAAAATACTTATGTAAGTAATCCCTGATTTTTCAAATATTACCTGAGAGGAAAAAATACACTTAAGCCTTTAGGTTATTATTTCCTTTCCTTCCACATACCATGTTAGACGAACTTCATCTAATAGCCTACCAACAGTCCCATGAATTTTATTATTTCATGTAATGTAAATTAAAATAGCTGAATAGGTGTCATTCAGTTATTCAGTCTAGTTTGCCTTTTTTTTTTTTTTTTAGAAACATACTTCATCAGTCCTAAGGTTTTTTTTAGATCAAGTAACAAAGTAAAAAACAAGCTATAAAAGAACATCAAACCACTACCTTGCATCATTTGAGAACATGTATTTCAGAGTGGTAAAAACATGCCTTTATTTTAACGGTACAAATTACATTGGCCACTCGGAAGTCTGAGCCTCAACCAAGATGAAAATACATTTAATCAGATTTGTACTACACTATATCAATATTGTATATTTAATACTTTATGGTTTACATATTTTCTCATTACCAGTGATTACCTGATGAAGCATTTTGCATAGCCTTTTATCTTTTGCTTTCAGGAAAAAGGCAAGCAGCTTCTTTCAGAGTCCACATCAATGTCTTTCCATGCGTCATACAGCAATGTACAGAACAGAATGATTCATCTTATATTTTCTTGTGAAATGAAACATATCTGTGTCATTTGAAGCTATATATCATAACTGTTCTATCAATCTACAGATAGATAGGTAAGCAGGCTAATAGATGTGGGATATTTGAAAAGAAAAAATATATTTGAAGTTGAGAGCAACTCCAAATTTTTAGTTTTGGGCAGAAAGTTCAGGTGAACGACAAAAGCAATAAATACGGCAAACAGGGCACTTAGTATATTCTGCTTTTGACATATTTTATTGATTTTAGTCCAAGACAGAAAGAGAGTAGATGTGTTAAGTGCTGAGTATTAGTTGGGTGCCACATTCCTGTATACTTCTCTTATTAGGGAGAATAAGTTTATATTCCCAATGCAGACAGATGGAAGGAGGCCAAAATCCTATGATAAAATTATCTTAGTCTTTTCCAGCACTGTGATATACAATGTTTGCTTCTATACTCTCTGGCACCTGAAGCACTATAATTTTCCACTATTTTGCACATTTAGGGCCTCATTCTCATCTAATTTTCAAGTGTTATGGAGTTCCACAGAATAAAGTATAAGTGGCATAAAGCAGTGGGAAAATAAAAAGTATCTCCCTGTGCAGCAACACGTTACTCTCACAATAATGACTCTGAATAAACATATGGACAAATAAACCGGACATACCAGTTTGAAGAAAGTATCTTTTTGCGTTGTTTATGGGATCATCAGTATCTTCAGGTGTGAAGAACAACTTCACAGCTTCCACCTTTAAAGAAGAATATTATTAATTCTTACTTTTTTGCAGTTAAATATAACTATTTGTGCACTATACAGACAATCATGCATCCAACTCTGTCTTAATATATTCTGCAAGGTCTCAAAATCGTATCAGTTCTTTAAGGGCAAAGTCAAATTTTCCCTTTCACAGAAAATGCCATGAACCGCAGAACAATGTGTTGCGTTCCTTCTCAAACTGAAGGCAAGATTTAGTCACTGAGACTAAAAACAAGACAGTTTTCAAAGCTCTGTGAAAAATCAGCCACTCTTCTTGATCATCCAGTTAAAACTTCTCCACTTTGGATTGTCATCCTTCTATCCTGAAAGAAAGGGTCCTTCTTTTCCTACTGCATGCTTCATGCCTAATTTAGATTGAACATTTTCCACAGTCTCATACAAAGGGACAACAATCTTTTTTTTTCCTTTTTTCTTAAAAATACTGATCTATATTAGGTTAGACGACACTGTGACAAGGGAAACACTACAGTAATCTCTGCTACTTGCAACATCAGTGGAGCCACTCAATTTGCTTGCACTTAGACCAATTTGTGACATCTGGTTCTTGTCCTCCTCCGTACTGGACTGTGAAAGAACACACTGGTGCATTTTTAACATAGGTACTAGTTCCTACCTGTTTTAAATTAAAGTAACTGAGTTAAGAGTAGAAATTTAAATCATTACTACCCAGGGACTGGCACCTGCCAGCATACCAGAATTCAAAATGTCAGACGCATCAACACTAACTGTCATGCGCTGCCCTCAAACCTTGATTCTTATATTTGGAAGATAAGTTTTCCTGACTTTTATTAGAATCAAAACAAGATTAGAAGAACAGGATACTCAGGTATCCTTGACTTTGTAGTGTGTGATTCATCTTTAGACCTGTGCCAAGTACTGTATCATATACATTGAAAAGTACATTTCTCTTATCTTATGAATTATTACTTAAGAAATAAGCTCTCCTTAGTTTACAAAGGGGCAATCACTCAGAACTGAGAGTTTGGGAAAGTAGCCAAGGAATAATGGAAAGCAGCAATCTTTTCTATACAGCAGATAAATTACCATGGTATTGAAAAAGCAAATCGTATCTTAGGAACCTATGTGACTTCTTTAAGAAGTAAACAGACTTCAAACAGGATAAAGAGGTCCAGCTCAAAGTTAGGAGGCAATCAGAACCATGAATAAACACTGTATAAAGACTGCTTCATTTCAGTATTGAAACCCTGTATGGAACGCAACCACTTTAGTGCCAAGTGGCATGAAGACAATCGCAATCACATTCCAATCACAGACAGAAAAATCACTTCCTGAACTATTTAAATCTGCACCTGCTGCTTAAAAAAAGATTATTTGTTTCAGTTTGAAGATCTTCATGCTTGTGTTGCTGTCAAAACTGATCTGACAATTGCTTGCAGCACACAGATGGGTTTCTCTTACAAATGAAATTGTTCACTGGGAAGCATAGCTCTAGCCCTAGACATTGCAACAGTAATGTGAAATTGTCTTGACAATAGCTATTTAAATTACAAAATAGAAATACCATTTTTTCACTCAGTAAAGCCAATCCAATTTGATCTGTCTGAACAATTTGTCCTTGTCCAAATCGCTGAGGTCCGTAGTAATTTACAAAACCTTTTGTCTAGAATGGTAAAGAATAAGTACGTTAAAAGCATGAAAGTATCAGGTACCATTAGTAAGACCAATGGTAAGTAAGACTAACACACACACCCCAAATGCATACAAACAGGGGGTTTTAATCAGAAATAATACATAACAAAAGCATTACTCATGATTCATTACAATATTTTGGCACTTAATTTAGAAACATCTAAAAAGACAATCAAGTTCTACTGTTGTCTTCACATCATTAAAACAAACCCAGGTAAGTGAAACAAAATTATTTCTATATAGTTAGTTATTATAAATACAACTACAGGTCAAGTCAAAGTAATCAAGCTTTTTATATGCATCGGATTACAAAATTGCTACTCAGGCAAATGCGGCATAGCATGGGCAATGAACAGTAAACACTGCTGGACATTTTTTCTGAAAAATACTAATTTTTTTCCATGTTATATAATTCTACTACTATTGTGAATACTTCTGCTAATTGGGATTTTAAATCTCCTGATGAGTTCTGGTCACATGTGAGAAGTAAAATCAGTCATGTGACCCAATGAGAACACCTTTTTCTGGAAAATAGTAAGTATACATGGAATAGACAAGACAAAACATATGGTATTTGTTTTGGAAATGCTTATTCAGTTCAAATTATATAACCTCACTTTGGACATTCATAGGTCCCATATGCAATTTTGCCTTCATGGAAGGTGAAAAATCCATAGTTTGGATTAATACACATCCTCTTTCGTCATTCATCACCTGACCAGTAAGGCAAATCTAATAAAGCAGGAAACACAATAGTAGGAATTTGTTTTTATTTTCCAAACAGCAAAACAAAACAAGTCAGATGGAGCAAAGAGAGAGAAAAGCATTATAGTACCGTTGAATGTTTTTTTCAATAATAAAAATATTTCCAAAATACATGTAATATATTTTGCTTATGCACACTGGGTAGTTTTCATTCAAGACTTCATTCCTGGATTAATCCTCTTAAAGTAATTTGTACTATAGTTATTACTTAGAAAAATAACGCAAGAAAATTAATGCTGTAAAAAACACCTACAGTTTTTTCTTTCCGTTATTTGCTTTAATTTTTCTTAGTTTAAGAATGTCTGATGATGGAGTTTTCTTCAGGGACTAAGGATAACAGCATCAAAATTCACTGAATTTCAGGGGACCTTCTTTCTCTGATATGGGCATTTTACGTGTGTTCATGCCATGGAAGTTTTTCACCTAAGCTGACCGTGCATGTTCCTCACACAACCAGAGAAGGCAACCAGTTGACATATGTATTATGCATATATATACATATATACACACATACATATAAGTAACTATATTCTTTCCACCTTCAAGTCCTGCAGTGAAACCCATCGCTTTGTCTTAAGGTCTGTGCAGCAATGGCTCATATACCCATACTCATTTGCTATTGAATTTCCCATGTCTTGCGCTGCACCACTCTGGGGTCTGCAGTCCATAACACAGAATGAATTCACTTGTGGTCCCTCCTCGGAAGGCAGTTTTACTTCTGATTCCATAAGTAATGCAAGAAAAACATAAAACCACAAGAAGCATCAAAATCAGGAAATACTGCCATTACTGTCCTATTGAAAACATTCTTCTTAAAAGTGTTATTTTTTAACAGCAAAGAATTAAAACTGTTCATGATTGGCAACCATGAGGCTTTTCTTACCTTAACATTTTCCATTGCTTCATATATTCTTTTTTTTAAATCTGCAGAGGAGTCATGACTGTGCTGTTGTAGATCTCTCACAACTATGTCAAAGTGATTGCCTTTCAGCTGACCAAGCCTGAGGTGCTGGTACGTTGAATGTATGTTGTATATTCTCATGCCCTTTTTTTCGATTTTGTTTCCAATTTCTTTCAACCTACATAAATAAGCGGGAGAAATTACAAACCCTCCTCTATTAAAGCTATCCAACTTCTAATAAATGTCTTCTTCACCTTTGTATTAGAATTAAAAAGCTCTTAAAAATAAAGTGGGATGTAAAGCAGACTATCATGAGAAAACCAAAACAAATACTTTTTAAATATTTGCGTCAATTGCACTTATAGGATATTGACAGATATTGGAATGAAGCAATTCATTGAACTTTCTCAAGGTAACTACCCTGAATTTTGAATTTTTTTTTAATTGAAAACCAAGTCATTTATTTACTTTTCAGTTCTAAAAACCTTCCTTTCATTAAAAAAAAAAAAAAACAAAAACAAAAAAACAACTCCAAAACATAATTTCCCTGCACACTGATTGCCTGAATGTGCTTGCACATGCTTGTAATTGGAAATACACCTGACAGTTCAAGTATTTGTCCTTTAAAATATCCAATCAACCTCTTTGTTCTTATGTGTAAATAACAGTAATCCAAAATAAAGGAAACTTTCAGCATAAAATCTTACATTCTAAGCAGTATTTCAATAACTTAATAAGTTGTTTATTTATAAAATTTACTTATTTCTTCTTTTGCAGTAGTGGTTTGAATGCATTTACCTATTTTGCTTCATCATTTAAGCACTAATGCAAAGTTTTGCTAATTATCTCTTGGACAACTGGCCCTACAGCCCAATTTGCAGTGGAATTTTACCACTCATATACACTTACTTTAGTAATAAATCCTGAAACCATAAATTCTATTTTTCTTCTTTCCTAAAGGGTACTTTGTTGCTATGACCAAAGTTAAAGCTGAGGAAAAAATAAATTATGGTTTTGACTCTGGAAAATTTTTTCTGTTACTGTGGTAAACTTAATATATATATTTTTTTTAATCATTCACTTGGCTACAAAAAGTAACAAAAATGAGGAATGGAAAGGCTCATCTTGTATTACTAACACATTGTTCAGAATGTATTTCCTTCCCTCAGGTTTGGTGATATCTTCTTTATTTAGCCTTGTGTTTCTTAACTGGACAACATGACAGAAGTTGATACTTAACACTCAAAGACAGCATCTGTCGAAAGTACATTTGTAATGATTTAGTTTTGTAGCACTGTAATGCATTTAAGTTGTTGTCTGGGGATCACAAGACAGTACTTTGACAGTATATGGAAACCTGTTGCATCCTGTAGCATAGGCTTCTTCTCAGTTCCAGGTAGTGGGTGGATCCCCTGAGCATGAATTTCAAGAATGCTGTCCCAGACAATACAGTATATTTGCTTTATGAAAAATACAGAGAAAGGCAACACTTTTCTTCGAATTTCCCACTGGGGAACTTCACTGCTAAGCTGCATATTCCCTAAAGGCACAAAAAGCTATTTCCACTGTCCTCCAATACAGGCAAAGGGAAGACACATGAGTAAAACATTTCAAATGATTGCACCAGATTATTAACATATTAATTTAATAACACTTATTAACATATAAAATTATGTGCCAAACTGAATGCACCCAGATTCTAAGTACCTCTCAGGAGTCACCTTCTTCACAACCATGGGTTGGAAAGTGATAGCCTTCTTATCTTTGATGCCAGTGTAACTGAAGTCTGAAGGAAGAACATCAAGTTCTGCCGCCAACAAGCCGATTGCTTCTAGTGTTTCTAGATTTTCTTTCTGAAGGGTGAAAGCTGAAACAATCATTTCAGAATTACTGGGAATTTGCACTTCTAAATAGTACAGGTGTTCTGCCATGATAGATGGGCACGTTCTTCCCCTCAAACTGTAATAGCATTGAAACTGTAAAGAAACAGTCTTCCCACTCACAAAAATAAAGGAAATGGGACTTTTTCAGCACAGAAAAAGTAAAGACACAGTATACAACACAAACAGAAAACCCTGCTGCCTTTAAAAACAGTACCCGAGTAAATGAAACACAATTAAAAAGACATGCATTGATGTATTCTAGAAACATTCTCTAAATCAGAAACCAACTGCTTGTAGGAATGAGATCATATATCAAATTTGACCTAACTTGTTCAACATCTAGATACACCTCTTAACATCACCCAGTTACTTTTAAGGGAAAGTTAACACACTGTGAACAGCACAGTTAGTGCTACAACCAGAAGAACTGTAACCATTATCACATAACAGGTAATTTAAAATCACTCCAGTAACTTGATTCATCCATGTCATTCTCAAGTAATGTAACTACATTTACACTGATATTGATTTATTTCAGCATAAAAAATGAGTGAATTTGGCCTATGTGTCATAGAAGAATGATTCAGAGTTTCAGTCGTACTACAGAACACCGTAATACCTCACACCTTCAATAAAAATGTAGTATTTACCTGTATAAACACCTTGTTTTTCGTGGGAACCACCAGCAGACCTTTTCCTGGACCCACATTTTTCTCGAAACCGTACCGTTATTGACATATTAGGCTGATCATTGACATCTGTCACAGTAAAAGACTTTGTTTCTAAAAGTTTTCCGAATTTTCTATTGAGAAAGTGGTGAACTACTTTTCTGTGCTCTTTGTTTCCATCAGGCTCAAAAGAAAACGTCGAATTTTCTAGCTTTGCATCTAAAAATTTAAAGAAGTCACTTGCTTCCTTTTCAGTCACTAACTGACAAAGTTCTCTGTAATCAGCATTTTCTTTTACAATCATTTCATTGTCTTTTGTAACAGTGACTAAAAAGGGGAATTTCTGCCGAACAGCACTGTGTAAATCAGCCCGACTTTTCTTGTCCAGCCTGGTTCCTAGCGAGAGCTCCCTAGTGCCAGCACTCGGAATTTTTTCCAAGCCCCACGCTTCCTTCAGATCGCAAGCAAACTTATCGAGCAGTTCGCTCATGGGTTTGCCGAGTAAGGACTCCAGTCTGGCTTCCTCGAGGCCGGATTTCGGCTCGGGCGATCCCTCACGCTGTTTTTGGCCGGCGGATGCAGCACAGCTGCCGGTGCCGGGCGCAGCCCCCCGGGGACACAGGGGAGCACCCGGGCCGGGGGTCTCCGCTCTTCGCTGCTTGGGCTGCCGCGGGCACGGCTCGCTCCGCTCCGGCAGCGCCTCGCTCGTTTCCTGAGGCAGGTCAGCCCCGCTGTCCCCGGGGAAGCGCTCGGGCACCTCGATTTCTGTCACCACGAAGTCGGCAGGGGAGTTTTTGATGGTGCCGCGGAAGCCGCTGTGTTCGGTCAGGTAACTAAAGGAGGGCAGCATGGCCGGGCCTGCCCTGCCCGAGGCAGGACCCGCCGCGCCTGCAACGGGAGCGGGTGGGAAACGGGGAGGGAGGGGGGCGGATAGGAACAGCGGCTACAGGAAAGGATGCTGAAAGGCTGGGAGGGAGCGAGGACAGCAGGCAGGCACGGAGGCAGGGATGGAGGCCGGGAGGTAGTGATGGGAGCAGGGATGGAGGCCGGGAGGCGGGGATGGAGGCGGGGATGGGGGCCGGGATAGGGGCCGGGATGGGGGCCGGGCGGGCCGCGGCTCCGCGAGCCTCCGGCAGGGCCGCCAGGGGGCGCCACGCCACCTCCCGACGGGAAAAGGGGCCTAAGGCCGGAACCAACTCACACAGGTCCGGGGGTAAAGAGAAGAAAAGAGCGAACCCCCCTCCCCGCTGCTGGAAATGGTGCGCGCCGGGGGGCGGGGCATCCCGAACAGCCTATGGGGAGGTGGCATGGGAGCTGAGCGCTTCCGCGTTGCCCTGTCTGGCCTGGCCCCTCCCTCTTAAAGGGGAAGCGGTGCCGGGTGGTCCCGAGTGGGCTGTGGGTGTCGCTGCTGGGAACCGGCGCGGGTGGTGAGGGGGCTTCAGGGGATCTTGCCGCCGATTGCGGGGCTGAGGGGGCTCCTGCCTACCGGGAATGGTGGGCAGGAGCCGCGCCGCGGGGAGTGATCGCGGGCGGGCCGGAAGGCGGCTGTGAAGCCGTGAGGCCGGGCCGGGCCGTGGCCGGGGCAGGGCGCGGGTATGTCGGCCCGAGAGAGAAGTGACGGCGCCGCTTGTTTCCCCAGGAGCTGAGGATGGGCGAGCCTGTGACGGCTTCCACGCTCGTCCGCTGCCTGAGCTACGGGCTCATAAGGCGGCTGGCGGACCACATCGACCCGCAGGAGGGCTGGAGGAGGCTCGCCATGGATATAACAAACCCGTCCGGTGAAGGCAGATACAGCCAGATGCACATAAGGTCCTACATAAAAGTCTTGTAACGTAACCTCGTGTGTTACCCGTTTAACGTAAACGCCTTGTCCATCCCATACCGGTGTCCGCCTCGTTTTCCATCCCTTTACTGTAACTTGCTGCAGTTTGTGTGCTATACAAGTAGGTACTTATATCTTACAGTGCCGTGTCCCGAGGGAACTCAAGGTAATTACTCCTCATTGTTCTGCAGCTCAGTTTTTAGACAAGCCTAAGAAAAATTGACTAAGGAAATTAGCCTTAATTAGAGCCACAGACATGTAATTTTAGCAATACAGCATTGGCTGTGTAATTGTATCCTACTAGTAAAGATTGACCTCATTGTGCCCACGAGACTACTAGTCTGTAACTCCCAATTCACGGTTCCCAAGAAAATGTCCAACAAATGTTAGGTTTAGGCCTCGGACTCTCCACGAGTTTAATTAAGAAGTAATGCCTGCAGTGTTTTATGAACCCCTTGTTGCTTGAAGGGCTTGTGGAATCCCGAAGCTGTTTCAAAGATTGTGAGGTTTTAAATCCTGTATGTATCATTTTGGGTTTCCAGTCTTTTCTAATGATGTTAGCATTAAATCTTTGTTTGTCTTTCTATAATAGTAATAAATCAGTCAGAATACTAGATCCCAATTTCTGCTTAATGCCCATCTCAAAACATTCAAAATCGAGGGCGGATGCCAAATGGACAGAAAACACTTAATTATTTCTCCATTTGGTCTGGCTCTGACTTACCCTCTGTCTCTTGCTGACCTTCTCTTGTCTGTTAGTCCCATGTGCCAGTATATTATGTGTCCTGGACAAAAATCCTTAAACCATGTATATATGCTTTTACCTTAGTTTTCCCCATATTTTGCAATATTTTCCCCTGATTTTGAATGTTTTTATGGTTTTAGCTGCATTTTCAGAATATTAGTGAATTTGTACAGTACATCTAGAATTTTTTTTGATGTGGGGTTTGGTTTGGGTTTTTTGGATGGTTTTGGGGGGATTTTTTGAGGGGGAGTAATTTGCCTTTAATCTCTCTTCTTCGGGTCACTTTTTTTTTTTTTTAATGTTGGTCTTAATTTATCTTTTAAGGAGATTTGAGGCATTTGTACAAATGGGAAAGAGTCCCACGTGTGAGTTGCTTTTTGACTGGGGAACAACAAACTGTACAGTTGCTGATCTTGTAGATCTACTGATTAGAAATCAATTACTAGCACCGGCAAGCCTGTTGCTTCCAGGTAACTATTACTCTTGTACATTTTTGTACTGTGTTCTCAGTTTTCTGAGATGCTAAAGAGCTTCACAGAAACTAAAAAATCAGAAAGGATTAGATGAAAATAACCCAAAGTGGATATATTTTCCACTTTCTATTACTTATAATAACAGTTAAAATAAGAATTCCAGGTTTCAGTAGGAGTGCTGGAGTTGACCCAGGGTGTCAGAATATAACCTCATGATGTTTATGGGACTTCTAATTTTAAAAAATACTGGCATTAATATTATGTGGATTTTTTTCTGGTTCCTAATGTAGTTAACACTCTTTCTAAATTCCATTTTCAGAACCTGTAAGGATGCCACAAGAAGTTACATTACCTCTTTCTTCACAGGAAACCTTCCCTGTGCATGAGAAACAACTACCTGTACAGGAAAAAGAAGCAGCATCTGTAAAGCCTGTTTTAGCTCAGAGTACTGAAAAGCAACATTCAGATCCTTCCTGCTTAAGTCAAAAAACCAGCAGTTCACAGTCCAGTAACACAGGTAGGCAATTACTTTGCTAGAATTAAGTACTGTGTCTTTTGGTGATCTGTCCTTCACCCCGTGTGAAATAAATCATAGCAATGCATGAGAGTGATGACTCCATTCTATCACTGTGCATTTCTGGGAAACAGCATCTTTCACATTTCCAACAAGTCACCTAACATGATGGAAGACTTGACTGTTAGTTACATTGCAATTTATTTTGTGCCACACATAATCCTGTTGCCCTTTTCCAATACTTCTTTTATAGACTGTTCAGCATCCTGTGTTTTAAAACTGGATTTTACATGTCAGAAATGACTAAGAATGCTGGAGAAAAGATGACTAAAGTAGGCATTTTAGGAGAGCATATGGTTGATCTATTCCTTCCTAAAGGTCCACTTTTGTGTTACTGCCAGAAACATGATGTGATCTAGGTATATTTTTTACATCTAAGGCAGCGTGGCTCTCTCTGTGATCTGCAGCATATTTAATTTCTATTACCTGTATTATGACTGTGAACAAAAAATAGAATCAGAAGGCTGCTACAGTGCTAGTTGTGGAAAAAATTATGCATAGCTAGTTATTTATCTGCTTTCCTTTTATTTTTCTGGTATCTTCATCGTGAATCTGGAAGTAGAGCTCCACTGTGTCAGGATTTTTGTGGTATCAAGTTTTTATTTTAATAGAACTGAAGCAGGAAACCTATTCAATACTCTTATTCCTTAAGTGAAATGAGAGCTTTCTGCTAAATGTCAAATATGTCTTTCAGATTTCCATAATTTTTTGTTCCATGATTTGGAAAGCATTACAAATAATTTTGATGCCCGACCAGAATCGTCTGGAGGTAACAAACTGGGAGAAGGCGGCTTTGGCATTGTATTCAAAGGCTACATCAATGGCAGAAATGTGGCAGTCAAGAAGCTCGTTGCTGTGAGTTTCCTGGTTTTTTTTTTGTTTTAATGAAGGTTTACTTTATAGTATAGACTTGTTTATCTTGCTTATTTTGAAAAGTGTAGAATGATATAATTCAAAAAATGTCACCATGTTAAACATTAGTTGGGTTGAGAACCTTATCCTGTAGTCCCATGAATGAGCTGACACAGTCACATGAAACAATTCTTGCCTTCTCTGTAGCTCACTTTGAGTGGCTCAGGCAAGTTGTCAGGAAGAGGAGAGTGCTCTCCCAGTTGTTCCCCTGCTGAGAAGGGGCACAAGGGAAGGGTTGCTGAGGAGGTTTCCATTTCAGATTCATATAGGTATTCACAAGCTAAATAGGTATTGCCACAGAATTTTAGTCTTCATAACCATTGGTTTGTGTGAATAATTTAATTTTGTAATGAGTAAGTGCTGTTCGAGGGTAGCTGCAGTGAATGGTAAGTTGGTGACTGTGGTGAAATTGGATCCATTTCTCCAATGATACTGTGTTCCAAGGAATTAAAAGTCATGTTGTGATACTTCATTTTTGAGCTGAGTAAGCAGGTACTATTTGTTACATGTAACTAATCTAAAGAAAGGTTTACAATCCCATTTTTAAAAAAAATTAATAACTATGCGTTTCAATATATCCAGTAATGTTAACATCAAAAACTTCCTTTTGTAGATGGTTGATGTTAGTGTTCAGGACCTGAAGCAGCAATTTGAACAGGAAATAAACTTGATGGCAAAGTGAGTACAGTCTTATACAGTCTTTGTGTTTGTAGTATAACTTAGTGATTTTCATGGTGTGAATGTTTCTTATACAGCATGACTATGTTTGTTTTCAAGCATCACCACAAACTTGGCTGTGCAGTAGAGCTGAAACAAGTAATTGGGAGTCATGTTCCCTTCTGCTTTGTATTTTCCTCAAATGTTCAGAGTCTTTCAGAGCATATACAGATTTTTTTTTTTTTATCCTTTGCTCTAGATGTCAGCATGAAAATCTAGTAGAATTACTTGGTTTCTCAAGTGATGGTGCTCAGCCATGTCTGGTGTATGAATACATGCCCAACGGTTCATTGCTTGACAGACTTGCTTGTCTGGTAAGTAAAATCATTTCTAGCCTCCAACTGTCTTACTTTGCTAAAGTGTAAGTATCTGTGGAATGTCTCTGAAACAGCACTGAACTGTAATGGCCAAATGATGTTTTGCTACTTGCTTCTTGTGTTTAAGAAGAAAATACGAGAACAAGTGTTCTTCCAATAACATTTTATTAAAATGTTTTAGATAGATTAAAGTCAAATCAGTATGACGATACAATGTCATGTACCAGTACCTGAAGTGGCACAGGAGCTTGGACTTGCTGTGCCTGTGTGAAGCAGTGCAAAGGGTGCTGCAGTATTGTTCACGGTTCTAACATTGGCATGTTCTCTGCTTGTTCTTGAGATTCTGGATTGTGAAACTGCCCTTTGTTCATTGTCCTAGTGATAGTGGTTATAACACAATGCTCATAGTTTACTTACCTCTTTCTAAATAAACGGGAATTACATTTTTTTAAATTATTATTTTGTGTAAATGCAATGCTTTATTCTGTTTTAATCAAATGGTGTATCTTCTAGCCTTGGATTTTAATAAATAATAAGTTGCTTTTGTTAGACAAGGCAACTCTGTTCTATGAAGGACAGACAGAGTGATACCAATAGTAAGTCAGACTTAAGCTAGTAGATCAGTGCCCATTTTAGTTTGTTGAAGGAGTTCAAAAACTCCTTTACTTTATACTAAACAAATCACCTGCTGAACATTTTAAATTGGTACTACTTCAACCCCTCGTGGCCCCAGATCTAAAAATGTTGGTTTGTTTTTTTTTTTTTCTGCACTGATCCTCTGGTTGTTCTGGCTCAAGCATTTGGAAATTGGAGAAGAGCTGGATTAGGAACCTGATCAGGCTGAAACAAATCCTTAGAGAAAAAAATTTTTAGTTTTCACTTTGAGACATTTCCTCTGCAGGGTTGCACAAATAGCAGGAAAGAAGTGGTGTTAGGATGAGAATGATTAGCGGTGCCTGGGGAGAGGATTTGATGTGTTTGGTATCACTGCTGCCTCAGTTTAGTTTGATTGAGTTGCACACACTGCTACATATGCAATTATTTTATTTTTTTTGAGTCAGTGCAGAAGAGACACTAAGTCTTACTTAAGGACAGTGCAAATTTATCTGTAGAAATGGACATTGCTTGACGAGGATGTATATGAAAATGTTCATCCATGTAACTTTGGCCATTATCATCCAGTGAGATTAAAATATTGGTGATGATTGAAAGCTACAATAGAAATAATTGAGTCCTTTACAAGGAAGAGCCAGATTTATGATATAAATAAAAAAATCTAAATCAGAATCTATACATCAGAAAGAATCTTTTTCTGATAAGGTCAAATAGGTGAGGAATGTACTTACTGAATGTTCTTGCTGATAACTTCATTTTGTGACTTCACTGGATGTGTTTTGAGGCACGGACTCTTGCTTATGTCATCTAGTCTGGATTTTGAGCAGGTGGGGAGGTGGTGGAATGGTGAGATATTGTAATCCTCTTCTCTCGGCCACTGACAAGACTAAGAAGTGGTTTTGAAATGTAGGTGTCCTCACTTCTAAGGTCTAGTTAGTAACATGAATAAAACTTAAACTCCTGAGAAGTGGTAAATCCAAAAACACTGGAACATTGACTTCTCATTGTTAGTAAAAGCTGCGGATTGCTTTGAACTATTTGTTTTGGGTTAAAGGTTCTGGTATCAGTGCCAGTGTGGAGTAGAAGGTGTGGTAGATACAGATTCTTTGCAGGGCAGCTGGTCTTGTAGGGTCAGAGTCGAATATTAACCAAGAACATTTTTTGCAACTGGTGAATTAATCTACGGCAAAATGCAGGGAAAGAACAGGATGTGACAAATGCATGTATATCTGCCCAAGTCAATTAAGAAAGGTATGTAGTAGTATTTTTAATGATTTACTTGAAAACAACAAACCATAGCAAGAAGTCCGTTTTGGATTGTGGGGTTTTTGTAAGTTTTGTTTTGGTTTATGTGACCGCGCATACGTATACATATATATATATATATATATATATATATATATACATATAGCATTTTCACCTTTTTTTACTTGCCTTTCTCTCTTCTTAATCAAGAATGACACTCCACCAATTTCTTGGAATACAAGATGTAAAATTGTTCAAGGTACAGCAAATGGCATCAACTTTTTGCATGAAAATAATCATATTCATAGAGATATTAAAAGGTAAAAAGCTGCATACTATTGCTGGCTGCATTTTTACTTTATTTTTTCTTCTTTTCTTTTCTTTTCTTTTCTTTTTTTTCTTTTCTTTTCTTTTCTTTTCTTTTCTTTTCTTTTCTTTTCTTTTCTTTTCTTTTCTTTTCTTTTCTTTTCTTTTCTTTTCTTTTCTTTTCTTTTCTTTTCTTTTCTTTTCTTTTCTTTTCTTTTCTTTTCTTTTCTTTTCTTTTCTTTTCTTTTCTTTTCTTTTTTTTCTTTTCTTTTCTTTTCTTTTCTTTTTCTTCCCTGTTAATGTAATTTTAGAGAGAACAAACTTCAAAAAACATTGCTTCAGTCAAGGGCACAATCTTTTCTGCAAGTGACATCCATCACCATAATCTTGTCTGTGCCTCAAGGACATGACCAGTACAGACTCCTAAAGATAATTATGAGGCCATTAGAACCATAGAGTTGTTTAGGGTGGAAAAGACCTTGAAGATCATGAGTTCAGCCATTAACACAGCACTGCTATGTTCACCACTACACAAAGTCCCTAAGTGCCCCATCTACATGTCTTTTAAATACCTCCAGGGATGGTGATTCAACCACTTTCCTGGGCAGCCTATTCCAGTGCTTGACTACCCTTTTGTTGAAGAAATTTTTCCTAATATCCAATCTAAATCTCCCATGGCACAACTTGAGGCCATTTCGTCTTGTCCAAATAGTTGTGGCAGAAGAGAACAACCTCCACTGTGCTCAACTTCCTGTCAGGTAGCTGTAGAGTGATAAGATCTCCCCTGAGCCTCCTTTTCTCCAGGTTAAACAACCTCAGCTCCCTTAGCCACTGGACAGCTTTCCAGCCATGAGATTTTGTACTGTAGTTACAATTTTGTGTTATAAATGCAATTTGTATAATGTAATGTAAATTGTAGCTCATATCGTAATCTGTTACTACCAGATGGTTATTCAAGCGCTGCAAGAACATGCAGAAAGTTCTGCTCGTTCACAACTGCTGCTAATAAAAAAGCTGCTATTAGGAAACAATGAATTTTTAAATAGGGAATTTTTCAGATGAAAACCCACCCTTTTTTTTTCCTTTTCTATAATATTTTTTCAGTATCTCCTTTGATTTACTCCTTCTTTTTATGAAGATAGTAAAATTACTTCAGTCAGGTTTATGAAATTCAGGGTTCTTCGACAATAATGTTAACTGTTTGTTATGCTAGAATTTTTCCTAGGGTTATCAGAGCTCAGAAAAGGGAGATTTTGTTGTAGGGTTTAGTTGTGTTTTCTGGTGTTTTTTTTTAGGTTGAGTTTTTTGGGGGGGGGTGAAGGGGTTATTGTCTACTTGTTTGTTTCCCCTTTCTTGCTACAGTTTACAGTACTGGGGTTTTTTAAAAAGTAGTCCAAGTCTTTGAAGAAAAGCCCCAAATGCCTTACTCCTTTTGAGGGTTAAGAAGCAGTAGCTGACTGATTGGACATGTTTCAATAGCTTTCTGGCTTCTGGCACCTCTGCTAAATATAGGCAACTTCAATTTTGTGACCTTTCAGCTTGTGAGGAACAAGCCTTTTCTTCAGCTGCTTCATGGATGTGCTCGCTGCTTTGACAATTTACGTTTCTTCTTTCTTCCCTGCTTAAGCCTCTGGAGAAGTGTAATGACTGGAAGGGGTGCTCTTTTTTACCCTACGTTACTTCTGCCCTAACTGCTGTGAGTTGATCTTATTACAGAATTGGGGTTTGCTTTGTTTTTTGTTTGGATTCCATTTTGCAACTTGTAGTGTGAATAGTTCAATAAATTTAATTGGTGTTTGTAGTGCTGCCACTTCCAGGTAAAACTTAGATGAAGAGAGATCTAAGAAGATTAACTTCAGTCTTTATTTTGCTGTGACATATGGAGACCATTCATAACCACACAGGCACTAGAACAGCTTCTTTAGGCTAGAGTGTTACGTGATTGAATGGGTGTTCTCACAGTTGTTCACAGTTTTTTGTGCTTGGTTATGCCAAAGGAATAGTTCATTTCTCTTTCTAAGCTTGACAGTTGCAGTAAAACTTGTTTCTTTTGTGCTCTTTGTGAGGTATCCAAAAAATGACCACTCTCTGGACTTGACTCAAGTTGAAAGGAAGCTCAGATTTCTTTCTTTTAGAAGCTGAGCTTTAAATATGAAACCAACTGGTGGATGATCCCTTGACTAGCATTTGGCCTTTTGTAGTGATCTTATATTATTTACAGCAGTTCTAACACCAAGTGCTAGAACTAACTAACCAACTAACTACCACTGTTCTGACTTACAGCTGTGTTGATTTTGTTAAGGTTTGGTGAGCAAGGGGAAGTTAGAAATATAAGTTTCTAGTAAGTGTTATGTGTTGTATGTGAGTACATACAACAGCTTACTCTAGTAAGTTGTTATATGTGTATGTAAGTGGTTTTCTTACAGTTCCATTAAGGGAATCAGAAGAGGATCAGAAAATGAGGATTACAGAAATATTAAGTGACTTTAAAATGGTTCCAAGTGCTACAAGTTTAAAACCCAGTAGATTTATGCTGTAATTCATCCCACTGAATATTTTATGAAAGTGTTAAGGTCTCTGAGGTAAGCCTCGTTTGTCAGGGTGGGGGTTTTTTTTACGGAAAGTAAAAACTGGAGATCAAGTGGAAACACAACACATATATTATTCTAGCAGTAATAAGTGTTCTGGTTTTCTTCCAAGACAAGAATAGTATTCCTCTGGCACATGAATTTGTAATGGTTGACATAGTATTAGATAATAGGTATAAAAAATTGCTTTTGTTAGTTCTGAGCAGAGATTTAGACTGTAAGAATCATGCTGTGATCCAGTACAAGTTGATCAGAGCTAAGTCTTCTCAGAGCTAAGTCTTCTCTATTGTCCTTCTTAAAGCCAAAACATAAGTGCAATTTAATTGGTCTCTTATAAGAAAGTGGTTTTTTTATGTGTGACTGCATGCGCACACAATAAAAAACACAGATGGATCTTGGCCGTCAGTTCTTGATTTATTTAGAGCAATCCATTTCAAAATCAAGCAATTTTTAACAAAACTAACTCATACATTATTTGTTATATGAATTATGTATAAATAGCTTTCAAGGCAGTCAAAATAGCAGTTTTCATTTGGTTACTAAAAAGATAGTAATCTGTTACAAAACCTAATTATTGTACTGGTTTGAAAAATTATTTTTTCTTTTTTAACCCTCCCTTCTCCCCCAGTGCAAATATCTTATTAACTGATACATACATACCCAAAATTTCTGACTTTGGCCTTGCAAGAGCATCTGTAACATTCACACAGACAATCATGACTGAAAGAATTGTTGGAACAGCAGCGTATATGGCACCTGAAGCTCTGCGAGGAGAGATAACGCCTAAATCTGATATCTTCAGTTTTGGAGTAGTAAGTAGAATGTGGAAAGCAGTATATGAATTTTTTGGTAAATTATAAAATTATAAATATGTTTTGTAAAAAGCATATAAAATCAAGAATATCCAAAATTAAATGATCTACTCTGGGCTATACTTTTGCTTTTTCCCAATAGATGTTTTCTTAAGATAGTGTTTCTAAACTTTGATTGTTTTAAAATCATTTGAATATGTTGATTTTTCTTTGTGAAAGACCAGAGTAAAATAATATTCCAAGTTCTAGCTAAATGTAGTTTGAAGTGATGTGGAACATTGTTTCTGCTTCTGTAGTATTGCACAGAAGTGTAACCCAGGCTGAAAAAGAAAATCAAGAAAACGGTTCAAAATTAATGTGTTTCACTGTATTTCAGCACCAAAAGTACAGTATCCATGTGGGATTTGCCTTAGACTTGAGTACAAAAAAGACATGAGCTTAATATTTGGAAGAATAATGAATCCATTACATGAGTTAACATATATCCATAAGATAATGAATCCAGTAGATCCAAGACCCTAATGAGTCTTGACCACTTCCTTCATGGCATTTAGTTTCATGGGAGGATAGGCCAGACACTGTGTCTGAATATTTTGTAAATCCTTTCACCTTGCTTTGAAGGAACACCATATAGGCTGAGAAAAAATTTGTTAAAATTCGTAAGCCATACTGCTAATAACAGTTTTTGAAAATAAATGTAGGAACAACAGCAACATCAATCAATTATATGGATGACTATATCTTTGGACAAACACAGATCCTGGGAGTGTTTGTTTGAAAGTCTGGGGGTCATGATACTTCTTGCAAATGGTACACGTGTTAAGGATTATGCTGTGCTTCATTTTCTCTTTGGCTTTTCTTTCCTCCTAGGTTTTACTGGAAATAATAACGGGTCTTCCTCCAGTAGATGAAAACCGAGAGCCACAGTTACTGGTACGTTCTTTTTGCGTTCTCCTCCCCTCCCCCTGCTCCAGAATCACTTTATATGAAATCATAGTCAGTTAACAGGTTCTGAGACAATCAAATTAGTCATCAAAATATGTAGTTGTGAAAACAGCACTTATGTCAATAAGCTGTTTGTCTTAGAGGTGAGTCTGAAACTTTTATCTCTTGGCTGGTAGATTGTTCACCCGTCAAGGTTGTCATCTTCCAATCTGATACTGGAATTCTTTGGTTTGGTACTGGTTCTTGTTGTAATACCATTGTGCTTTATCAGCATACTCCTAGATACCCTGATAATTCCTCATTCCCTGGAACATTTTGAACTATTCATCTCAGTTGTTTCTTTACGCTTTACTAATAATTTACAAATACCTTGTGTTTTTAACCCTAGTTAGTGACGTTTGAAATGTAAGGGCTTTTTTGCAGAACGTGGGTGGGTTGAATTTCCTCTTCTGTTTTACTACTTAGGAAATTAATGTCTCAGCTTACTCTCTTGAATTAAAAATCTTACAAGGCTCTTCATAATTTAGTCTTTCATATAGTTTAAAATCATGTTCTGAACTCTTTAATCCAAGGCTTTCCTAAAATACTTTTTACTAATTTATTTACTAAGTATGAAATAGCATCAAGGTTCTGATTTGTTTTGTTCCATACTGTTTGATAGCAGATCACTTTCTTTCACAGCTTTAGGAATACCTGTGTATTTTTAATAGAATTTTTTTTTTCCTTCTAAGCTATATCTTTTGGAGTAGCATAATAGTTATCCTGTTGAGCTTGTAAAGACCTTGGAGAACTCAGTTTTTTTGAAGCAAGCTTCTTCAGAGATAGGATCTAAAAAGGAATATGAAGCATGATTTGAAGCAAGTTTATCCTTGTAGTGTACTTTTGGCAGCATAAAGAGAATGGCCAGTGTAAGATCATATGGCATCCCTAGCATTCCAAGTGTGTTGGAACTGGAGACTTCTGGACTAAACCTGTGAGATTTAAAATTTGATTTCAGTATAGAAGTTTCCTTTTAGCCACTGAGACTAGAAACAGAAGGCATTTATAAAATGAGGCTTTATAAAAAAAAAAAAAGGTGCTTTTTTTAAAAAAGAGGCTTTATAAAAGGGACAGAAAAAGAGAAATTATACAAACTTAAGCCTGTATATTTGTGAGTAAACATAAATACTTCATGTTGATCGTGATTCGCTTAAAAAGGAGCCAACACTAGGAAACTTAGCCTTGAAGTGGGAGAAAATTAAAGCTGTATAATGCAGCTCAAACAAAATTGCTTTATGATGTTGTTTTAATGAAAATAATGTATAATAAAATAATTGATAAATAAAAAATTATAGTTTATTTTTATAGGCTGTTCAGATCCTTACAATGTTATCTGCTCTTGGTTCAAACTCTCTTTTTAGTTAAGTATAAAAGATGAAATTGAGGATGAGGAAGCAACTATTGAGGATTATGTTGATGAAAAGATGAGTGACTGGGATGTACCTTCAGTTCATAAAATGTTTTCAATTGCTGATCGGTGTCTGAATGACAAAAAAAACAGAAGACCAGACATTAAGATGGTATGTAGTCTTTCAGATAAATGGCTTTTTTTGAGTGTGTGTGTGTTGTGTGTCCTCACCTGTGGTTACAGTATCAGTTGTTTATATTGCTGTCTGTTCTCTTGCAGGTGCAACAGCATCTCCAAGAGATTAAAACGTGATACGTGTTTCTTCTGATACACAAATGTTTTTGTAATGGAGTAGACACCAGTAGCAAATATTTAATTAGCAATTATTTATGTGGCATTATCAGCTTTTCTGCTTTCCAGAACATTCTGGACATGCGTAATATTGTGCTGTTGGCCTGTCCTCCTCCTGTTAACGGGGCAGCCCTTTCTCATATCCTTAGCCACTGGGCCCTTAACATGAGAACTTCTGTGTTAACAAATTGCATCATCTTCTCCCCAACTTTTTAAATGCACTTCCATATTGGAATCTATTTGATTCTTTTTATTTCCAAGTTTCAAGTATGTCTGCTGCAAAGGCATATGACTATAACAGGGCAGAATGTTTTGGGTTTTTTTTCTGAAAACTGCTTTCTTGATCAGGTGTACTAGATGTTCTTCTATTGCAGAAAAAACCATATAATAGCTATAAAGGGGACTTAATGTCTGTTTGGGAAAAGACAATAGCATTTAGAACAAACTTCTATTTAGGATTTTAATTTGAGAGTTCAGATTAGCGTGAATGGTCTGGTACTGTTAGTGAATGTGGCTATATTTCAGAAATCTTCTTGGCATTAGCATTTAGTCAAATAAATGCTGCAAGACATTTTCTAGGTTGTTTTTTGATTTCATGGATTCCTGAGCAAAATAATTATCTTGCTGTATTTGCACTTGCAAATACTTTCTTACTGTGAACTCTGTGATGACAAACCATTCCATTTTTATTCATAGGAAGATAGCTACTTTGACTATTTTCAGAGAGGATTGAGTATTTTAGTACTTCGTGAGAGGATTCCCTATGGATTATAAAAATATGTAAATTATTTTACTTTTATATATATAAAAATTATATTATTTCTTTTGTTAAAGTGGTTGGAATTATGCTGTTAAGACCAACTCTGCATTTTCCTTTGTCAAATAATTAAGCTATTTTTAATATACAAATATATTATTAAATATTAAAATACACTTCTAAAAATATAACATGGAATGCTTTTTAAAATAGGAACACGGACAGATCAAAGCAGACTAAAAATGGAATGAAAGTGACTAGTAAGATTCCAGATACTTTGGACCAAGTATGAAAATGCTACCATTGAAATGAAATATATTATTTTATATAAACCCATTTTGCACCTCATGAACTTTCTTGATACCTGTGGGATAGGAAAATGGTCTGGCCTACAATTAAATTTCAAATTTCATGATTATCAAAGATGTGACTGTATTCAGGGATATATATCTCTTTGTAGAAAGCATTTGATTTCTAATGTATTTATATAATGAGATTTCTGGCTATTAACTCATTTTGTATTGCCTTTTCAAACTGATAGTTTAATGTAGAGAAAGGGATCCACCTAAACTGCTTCTAGCATTATTGAGTATAAATTGTAAAAAGCTGTTAACATAAATAAAAACTCTGCGTTATCACTGGAGATGATTCTTTCTGCTGTATTAAAACTTTGAGCCTTGGAAATAATCATCATATTCTGTTGCTTGCATTTCTGTTAATAACATTATATTAACCTCACTGAATGGAATAAAGCTGTACAGCTCTGAACCAGGGCTTGTGGAGAAAAAAGCTGCTATAAAGCTAAATCACTATAAAATCTGCTGAAGCCATTTTTCAATTTTAAACATCTCCAGCTGTTATGTGAAGGTTTCTTATTAGATCACGTCTGCTTTTACTATTGCCCGGAGCTCAAATACCTCTGTAATGTTGTCCTGAAGTGTGTTTGCTGTAGTAACTCCCCGGTCAGCTCTGTTCACCTCTGGTGTGCTTGAACATTTTGTTCATGCACCAACTGTGATTCTTAAATATTAGGAAAATCTCAGCTACAAGCATGTGAGTTCCTGTTCTGTCATACTAGACAATGACTATTTGCAGTGCTGCTCTCAGCAGCGAGGTTTTGGCAGTAGTTTTCCCTCCTTCACTGAAAATAAAGCATGTTAGCTACCATTTCATACAATTAAGAAAAAAAGAAAAGTTTTGAACTTGTTTAATATTATTCTAGTGAGGAATGAAAATGTGAGGTGATAATTAGGTAAAACTAGTTAATTTATGTGGCAACTATTTTTAAATAATCATAGGGCAAGGAGAAGGAACTTCCTTTTCCCACCCCAGTTTTTTTTTTTTTTTTTTTTTTTTTATCTTCATACAGTAAAGTCAGCACCTATAGACACTTACAGGAGTGGTTGACTTTTGTTTCCTTTTTTTCCCTGCAAAAACATTAAATTATCCTAGAATCCATAACTCTTTGTGTTAAGTCCTGTAGTGAAGCTTTCTAGGACACAAATCAGTAACTTGAGTCATTCAAGCTCTTTGTGAGTAATGGGATGAATTCTAGTTTCATAGAACTGGAGGTGAGAGAAGCTGGGTACAATTCCTGATGGGTGAAGACAGCTCCAGGTGTTCTTGGGAGAGAGGGAGGGCTAACATGGCTAGCCTATATCCTTTCTAAGTGGGGAAAGTGCAATTGGAGGATCACTGTCCTTGGTGAAAGAGCCAACCTTTTGCACATTAAGGATCTGGAGAACAGCAACACAAAAAGAGTTACTCACCCCTAGAAGGCCGTAAGAATGAATGACAAAAAGCAAGAGTGATTTCTTGGAATTCTTGGTAAGACTTTGGAAAACAGTAGCAAGATGAAAGCAAATGCTAAGGATCCAAAGAAAGTTGCCTTTTTTAAGTAGAACCAGGTAGGAAGGGCAACAGTTCTCCCCTTAGTTAGAGCAGGAGGTAACAATGGCTGTTGTGAGCCAGACCAGAGTTGTCTGCACAGCCCTGGGGCCAGAATGTGAGACTTTAGTGGCTGCCGAGGAACAAAAGCAAGGACAGGATAGGTGGGTAAAGATACTGCATTGGAATGTGATGGCTTTATATGATTTGGAGCTCATTAACTTTGAAAAGGAGGCGAGGTCTTTGTTAGTTATTAAGACTATTACATTTTCTTTGATCGGTTTGTCCAGTTACCTTTTGAGCCAACACACCTTTTACCAGACTTCTTATTATTGAGGTGGGAAGTGCCTTATCTTCATATTTGGCTGGGCCAAAAGTTTCCTTACCACCCACTGACCAAAAGGGAAATAAAGCTGCTTGTGTTTCTCCTGGCCACATAGAGGTCTAGCCTATTCCTTCATCTTGCTTTGTACCTGCTCCTCTTACAGCTCTGGTTCTATGTAGGATTTTGCATTAAAATTATTCTCTGAAATCCTAGTTCAGCACTTCTTCAAATATTCTTCTTTCAATTGCAAAATTGCTGTATCACAGATTTCCCCATGGAGATGTGTTGGCAGGATAGTTAAAAGTCAAACCACTAGATGTTCTTTTCAGCTTGAACTTTCAGGACAGTAGGAGGTCTTCAAATTATTTTCAGTTTAGACAAAAAAATATTAATGGAACAACGTAATTTGAGCAGTTTCATTATAGTAGCTCAAGCTGCGCAAGTAACAACAGACAGAACTGTTAAATCACCACTTAACTACTTCAGCATTTTAAAAAGACAGAAGAACTTTTTGAAGGGGCTTATTATTGAAAGCATGAAAACCTCAAGTGATGAACACACTTAAATACTGCTGTGGAGCCCTCTGTGCTGCTTCCATAAGGCAACAGGAAAGCAGCTGTTTCTAGTATGGTGATTTTTCTCTAACAGCAGGAATTCTCTTTCTCACCTCCTTTCTTACACCTTGCAATCACTTTCTAGTCACATGGGAACTGCCTTTGCACATTCTGATGTTAGAATACAGATCTTTGTTAAAGACAGCATGAAATGATCCAGACAACACCAAGATAAAGCATCAATCTTTATTTATAAAGCAAATTACAAAATAGATACGGTAAACTTAGTTAATTTTAGCATCTGAAGGTGGTTCTTAATACACAGACACTGTAAATCAAGAGTTTCCTTTATCAATCTGTTTATCTGAGCAATAGAGCAATTATGACCTTGATTAGTTTAACCTTTGATAGGAGTGTTTTAAAAGATCAAAATCTCATGACCTTGCAACATAAACATTTTAAAAATAATTGCCTGTTGTATTAATTAACTGTTTAACAGCTTGTGAGTTAGTTAACTGCAAGCAGCGGCATTGCTTTTGGGGTTTCTGAAGGCCAACAACAATTTGAATGGACACTTTCAATTATTTAATGACCAGAGACACTTGAAGGAATAACACTGGTTAATGCCCACATTTTATGCTGGCTCTGAACATTCATTAAAAGTAATGGAGGCAACTATGCAGGAGTAAACTTGATAGATGTTAGGAAAAGATCAGGTGCTTCTTATTGCTCTGTCAGGAAAAGAGGCCTGGAGAGGCAGCCAGCAGTGCACGACTTCATACAATTCTCTTTTCGGGGAGATGGTAGGGGGAAACATGCTCAGGACATGACTCTGCTGGTTGGTTAGGGGTTTGTACACCCACATAGAACATTCTCAAGTAAAATAACTTAGAATGTCTGGTTTGGGCTGAACTCTAAAGCAGCTCATCATAAAGGCTATTGCATAATCACTTAGTCAGCTCTCATCATCCCCCAGATTAAGTTTTCCACCTTCTATTCTCATCTACCTAGGGCAGGATTAGGAAAAAAAAAAACCAAAAAAACCCAAAAAACAAAAGCCCCTCACAACATGCACATAACTGTATAGGGTCAAACTGATCATTATTGAACATCTAGTATTAAAAAGTTGAACTTCTTTATTGGCTAAAGAAAGTGTAAAGATGTATGTGCACTTTTGCTATGGCTGGCACATGGGCAGGAATACTGAATTCTAACAAAAAACCCTCTAGCAGTAATTTTTACCTGTTTCAATCAAAGGTTTTCCTTAAAACTAAACCAAACAAAAAAAACCCAAAATGAATTAGGTGTGCTACAACGATTCAGAGTTCAACTAAAAATACATGTAATTACAGTGTACAATGAGCTGCACACAGTAACCATACATAAAAGACAATTACACTTCCCTGACATATAGTACATAGAAGAAACACTTCTAAGACCAGCTCCTTACCCTAGAGGGAGAAGGTAAGAGGCAGGAAAAGAACACGATGGCTAAGGGCAAGCAGGAGATTAGCTGAGGATCTATTGAATTGGACTGATGTAGTGTGTAAGATTAAATGGATAAAGCTGAAATGTCATATTTCTACTGCATATAAAAAAACCACAGTAAAACCGACTATTGCAATCTTCACATTATATAGTGCAATCTCAGATGTCAATAACAAGCTAGTATCTCCAAACAAAATAGTAGATAAAACAAATTTTATAGTAGTGTCAAAGCATTGTTTCCCTAAAAAACCTAGGTTAAAAACTGCATTTCACCAGCTAAACACATGATTCATTCAGCTCTATAAAGTGTATATCCAGCAGCTATGATAATATGCAGTGAACCAAGACTGGCAACTTCCATGTAGCTTTAAAAAACCCCAAACTGACACAACTCAAAAACCACAGAGCTCACATACAAGACACTAAAAAGCAAGTCCTCACTGGAGAACATAATCTATCACTAGTATTTGCCTCATCACACAATTTAAAATATTTAAGTTCATCCAATACTTGATTTCCACATCTAATTCTGCCTTAGTCCACTTATTAAAATAATCTATTTTTCCTCTTCCTATTAAACACATTACTTACAATTCAATCAAGTTTAGACTATTCTGGCTGATTTTAGTGTTCTGGAGAAGGGAAGCGGGGAGGGGAAAAAAACAGACAGAATCCTAACCAGGTGCTTGCTGCCAGCAGTTATTCAAGACCTAGTTGGATTTCGGTTACTAATAAAGTTCAAATATTTAGGAAAAGTAATTTTCAGAATACCTTGAAAGTTAAAATTGTAGTTGACACTGCAAACACAGTAAGATCTCAATGATAACTCACCATTATGAAGCAAGTCTATTTCAATTTTTACTGAATTTACACATTTTTAGATCTGAGTGCACAGGTAATTAATTATTAGATACTTTAGGTATATTGCTTTGAAAACAGCTTCATAATCTACTGAGTATACTAACTCATGCACTTTTAATCACCTTTTACTTGGTCATTCAGTACCTAATATGTAAGGCTTCAGAGTGATAACTACGACTAGGAAAACTATGGTGCTTTTTACGTCAGATTTCCTTAAAAGACAATTCCATTAAATTAGTTATAAATTTGACATGACCAAGCTTTTGGGTAGGAAAATATCCAAGCTATTCCTGAATACTTTAATTAATTTAATGTGAAACTGATTTTTATCTTTTCCATTACAAGAAAAAAAACCGAACAAAACCAAACCAAACAACAACAAAACCCAACAATACATCCTGTCAAAATCAGAGGAAAACCTTCTATTGTACTATTTTCCATAAGTGCTATAAGGAAAAATAAAGATTTAATTGGGACAATGTCAATTAAAGATTTAATTGGGACAATTGTCATCTCACATGGAAAGTCTTCCATGTTTCAATAGGCTATGCATAAGAAAACGGCTGCAACTTGCCCATAGAATACATGGATTTCATAGTCTTATGTCTGTAAAGTTTATGATCACATGTACAACTATTAAATAATGGATTCTAAATTAAAATAAAGAGGTACTAGCTTAGTTTCACCTTTCTAGTTCTAAAGTAAGTAGCTCTTCTACATGTCATAAAACATGGTCAACAAATATAATCATGTAACAATATAAAAAGTGTTGAGGTCAGAAAAGAGAAGAATAAAAAGAGCCTTTTTTTCCACTAGAATCTATGAATGGAATGATTTCAGTTCATTACCAAAAGACAGAATTTAGTTTCCTACTGTAATAGTTTAACAAATATAAACAACAGTTTCTAATCACTAGGCGTTTCGGTCTCTGCTGGACCTCTGATCAGTCTTCGTATTCCCCTCTTCCCCGCAGGACCTTTTGGTTTAGCAAAACTCTGTTTGTAAGCATGTTGTTTTGGATGAACCTCTTCATAAAGAAAGTCAGCAGTTAACTCATCACCATTATCAATTTCAATCTGGCAGGAAAAAAAAGCCAACATTTATCATATTCATATTAAAGTCAAACTTAAAAAACATTTTGAAATTTTGCTGAAACTAAATACTATATTAAAACCATATGTGCAACAATGTTCAAAGTCATAGCATGGAAGCTTCTCCAGCTTGTGCCTAATGCCCTGAGAAATCCTGGATAGTTTTTCTGAGAATCCCCTTGATTCTTACCAGTAGTAAGTGTGACTTAATTTTTTCCTGAAATACAAGTACAACTACACAGTACCTCTGCCAAGAAACTGTTTTTGTCTCAAGCTTTAGCACAGTCCACTTGTTAACACTAACTAGGAGAACACATTCCATGTAAAACTAGTGCTTGTTTACTCATTTAAAGTATTTACACATTTTAAGAATTAAAATTTTTCACTATAACATGCTTTAAACACAAATTGTAAAAGCAATGTGTATACATATTGTGGCCACTTGAAAAAGAGGGGGAGGAGTGTAAACAAGCTTAGAATATTAGCTGGCTACTGCCACTAGCAAGTGTTCAAGGCAGGGAGAAGCTAAAATAAGTTTAATGAATGAAATAGAGGGGCGGGTGTTTTAATTTTCAAAATTTAGATATATGAACCCGAATAGAAAGAAAATAGAGTTCTCAAGCCAAACCCCACTGTTTTGAATTGCAAGAATTTAGAATTCATAGAAATGCTTTGGCCCTACTCTGCTGAGCATTCAACACTTCATGCCCTGCCAACCATAACACTTGGCAGACTTGCCAGCCACAGTTTTGCTGTTACAAGTACATGCCTCAGAAACTTTTGTCTACAAGAATTTTCAGGGGTCACATGGTGGATTTATTTTATTGTAGAAAGGAAATTTCTGAGAAATAATTACATATAAAAACACATAGCAATAATCTACGTAATTGATGTTATCTCAGTAAAAATGGTTAATATTAACTCTGCTATTTTTTAGATAAACATCCTCTCCACAAAAACCAAGCTCCCCCACAAATAACTGTAAGTCACAATTGGACCATTTCTATAGTCTCTGCTATGGAGGCGAGAAGCAACTTTTTGCATAGAAGTACCATCTATACAGTGTGAAAAGATCAGCTTACTTGCAAATCCTTGTTTGTCTCATCAAGGACTCCTAAAATAGCAGTCCTAATTTCCAGAACTGCAGCTTGAAATTATTTAAAAAATCCTTACATAACTTTGGCTTTAAGGGAATTTAGTTTTCAACAACAGCAATGTGTTGTGGTCCAAAATACGACTCGGCTTTGAGTAAGAAATCATGTTAGTTCTATATAGTCCTTCAAAATACACTCAAATACTTCCTTGATGCACGAGGATGTATTTGTTAAAGATGTGAAAGTGCAGAAATTATGAAACAGGGAAAAGCTTCCATGACTTAACTTTGTATCTGGAGCTTCATCAACGATTATTTCTTGTTCAGGATAAACTTTAATAGTTACAGAATACTTTTCATTGTTTAGAGAAGGTCGTGACAGAGACAGTTATAGTTTTACATGAAGAATAGAAGAGAGGGATGGAGAAAATACCTGTACACCCCAATGCACTTACCTTTCTAATTATCTGCATCCCCAACTGTGTTTCTACAATTTCTAACAGTGGACTTTTGCAACTAGAGTAGAGCATTCGTTCTCGTATACTACAGGTATACCCTGGCATAGAGTAGATGAAAACTGCAAGAAAAAAAAACAAATCAAAAATCAAACCATAACTACATTCTATCAAAGCTTTATCCTAAAATCATTTACAGCAGAGAGGCATTGAAAATCAGCTATGCAGTCTGAAAGGGAAAAATGTAATGCCATTCTGGATCTTTTTTGCTTCAGCAAATGTTTAATTTCAAATGGAGGATAAGAGAATGGCTGGTATCTTTATGTTCTGACATTTATGGGTGTTCATAATCAAAAGGGATAGCTCACTACTTTGCAAACAGAAGGACTCTCCTTCACAAGACAGTTTCACAACCAAATGACTCTGAAATTTATGATCATGCTGACAGATTATTTCTATGACACATCTTTCCCTCTGCCTCAAAATTCCTAAAGTATTTGAAACAAGCCAATTAAGTTTCATATTGAAAAATTTTCTCATACTTATGGATTCCAAATAGTCTCCTTCATGTGTGTGCTTATACAGGAAAAAGTGGTAACGTGCAGCATCCTTTGGAACTCTTTTTGGCAAGTCCTTAAGTTCAGTATCAAGTGTGTTGGCCAAAATAATAGTTTCATTTTTCATATCAATTTGCTGTTAACAAAGCAAACATGAATACAGTTAATATGCAGAAAGTAAACCAGAGAACATAACAGAATGACAAAAAATTTATTTAATCTGATTTTATATATTTTTATATATATTTTTATATATATTAATCTAATGAGATTAATTTATCAGTATACTGCAGCAACACATGTTTAGCGTGCAGGTAATTTATTTTATAGTCATTATTAAAAAATAGTTAAAATATTTTATACTTGCCAGCTGTACATAATTGAGTTTCTTATTTTTCAATTTCTCCAAAGCCTGAATAGCTTCTTTAGCAATGGGGAATGCTACTCCTTGCAATGTTTGATGCTTGGTATCTACACCAACGTCTGCCTGTACCTGGAACACAAGTCAACTGAGATGTTAACAGAAACCTTTGCAAGCATTCGTTTGGTTTCATACAATGATTGGCAATGCATTGCATATGGTTACACACAGAGTTAGCAACAGCTATTCCAAGAGTAAACCACCCCAAAAAATCATCCCCATATACAAGAGATTTGCATTTTTTAATTTATAGGTCATGTTTGTTTGCTAACTTGAAAAGTTTCATATCTCTGAAATGGCTCTGCTTAGCAGAGCAACAGAATCACCAGAGGGAAAACTGGTTCAAATGTCAGTGAAGAAGCCCTAAGTTAAATTCTGGTATAAAGATACAATAATCCAGGAGGAAAAATCTTGATTTTCATATGCTGTGTTTTACTTCTGAGCTTACAATATTGCTTGTAAACTTTGTTGTATAGTGAAGAACTTTAGATCAAAACATAGATGTGATTTCTAGGGAGTCAAAATTTTCGGAGGAATAGAGAAAATATATCTTACAAGACAAAGTGATCTTCTTGAAAGAAAAGACCAACTATTCCCCCTCCTGTTTCAACACACTCCCCCAAAAAGCCTATACCAAACCAAAGTGAACAAAATAAACAAAATCTTAATTTCTTAAGGATTAGACCTTCTAGGTCTAACACAAACAAAAACAAATTCAGCACAAGCTAAACAATTGTTCATAATCCAGTTATATTAGTCACAAATTATTTGAGAGAAAAGGACAGTTACTTTAAAGTCATTTTTCAAGAATTTATATGTTTATCTTAATATTCACGTAGTTTCTCGTAAAATTATCTCTGGCCTCCAGTTTTCTCTTAATTTATTGTTTAAGTACTAGCTTTTGAATATATTAACTTTCTTTTATTATTTCACAAATACATTAAACATTGATTATAAAGGAGCAAAAGTCAGAAAAGTGTACCAAAGAGAAAGTGTAGGTCTTAGATCTATCAACTAGATCTATCAACATATTCAACTTTAATTAAAAAGAGATGCTAATGAAATGTGAAGCAAACTGGTAAGAAAAATAAAAAACAAAGATACTTGTAGCAACACTGGATGATACTCCCAGATTTTGAAGAACAACTTGTCAGCAACAAGGAAAGAGGAAAAGAAAGCAGGTGGAGAGCTTACTTTTTTATAAAGACTGATAAATTCATGAAGAAAGCTATAGAAAAAAATATTTGCAAAATATATCGTCATAAAACCCTGATCTGTAAACGTAAAATAGGCATTACAAAAATAATAAACTGTAATAAAATACCATACTATAGAAACCACATTAAAATACAAGTAGGAAAAAAAATCCTCCAAACTTAAAAATGAACTGTGAAGTGTAAGAGACAGGCAAGGGAAGAGAGTAACCCAATATAACTCCAGATACAAGAGAACAACCAAAACCTACTAGTCCATACTGCAAAATATTTCAGACCTTTAAAGCAAAACAAAACCACCTAAGTCAATTATGTATATTTAAATTCACACCATAAGATTTAGTTAGTGATGGCTGCTGAGTGGTGGATGAAATGCCAGATGAAATTTCCTGTGAATAAATGTAAAGTAATGTACGCAGGAGGAAAAAAAAACCTCTGTTTTTTTTACCTCTATGGTAATGGAATTGAGCTAGCTACTACCACAGGAGCCAGACCTTGCAGGTCATTCTGAATATCTCTGAAAATAAACCCAAGCAAAACAAAAAACAATCCCAAACACTCCCAACCCACAAACGAAATGTTATGAATTGTTAGAAAAAGAGAACAGAACACATCATTACGCACTGTAGGTATCAGTAACATGCCTGCATCTTGAATACCACATGCAGTTCTGGCTTCCCCATCCCTCCATCTCATAAATTACATAGCAGAACTGGAAAAACTGCAGAGAAAAGCAAAAGGATCAGAAGTATGGAGTGCCTTGTTGAGGAGGAGGAACTACCTAGATTAGGACTCTTCAGCCTGGAAGAGATAACTAATAAGGAATACGACAGAGGTCCATGGATATAGAATCATAGGACAGTTAGGGTTGAAGGGACCTTTAAAGGTGATCTAGTCCAACACCCCTGCAGGGAGCAGCAACATCTTCAAATAAAATAGATTGCTCAGAGCCCTGTCCAGCTTGACCTTGAATGTTTCCAGGGATGGGACATCTACCACCTCTCTGGACAACCTGAGCTAGTGCCTCACAACACTCATTGCAAAAAATCTTGCTCATATCTAATGTGAACCTACACTCTTTTAGTTTAAAACCACTAGCCCTTGTTCAATCGCAACAGGCCCTGCTAAAAAAAATCTGTGCCCTTTCTTATAAGCCCCATTTAAGTGCTCAGTAAGATTTCCATGAAGCCTTCTCTTCTCCAGGCTGAACAACCTCAATTCTCTCAGCCCTTTGTCGTAGCAGAGATGTTCCAGCCCTCTGATCATTTTTGTGGCCCACTCCAACAGATTCATGTCGTTACTGTGCTGAGGACCCCAGAGCTGGATGCAGTGTTCCAGGTGGGATCTCACCAGAACAGAGTGGAGGGGGAGAATCACCTCCCTTGACCTGCTGATCACACTACTTTTGGTGCAGCACAGGATACAGCTGGCTTTCTGGGATACAGCTGGCTTTATCCAAAGGGAGGAGGAAACTGAGGATTGACTTGAAGACTTTTCTTTGCCGTCCCCACACAATCTGCAGGGTTACCAGAATATATTAGTACATAGCAATCAATGGTTCTTTATTTACATAGTACTGCAAATGTTGAGGCAAAAAAGAGTATTCAAGGTAATTATCATAGCCTTCTTGCCCTGCTCTGACATGCTTCCTGGATTTCTGCTGTTGTTCACTCAAGGACTTGACAACAGACTAGGTGATCCTTTGATCTGACACAGTAAAATATTTCTTAGGGTAATTGTGAAAGAATATACATATGGAAAACTTTTTAAAATCAAAAAACTTTTAGTTTTCTAAGTCTATTTACAGGTTTTTTAATGGTGGAAACAATAAAGAGAAAAATTAGTAAATTATTGTATTGTAAGACATTTCAAACAAAGCCAAAATGGCAGCAATCTTTATGTGTTTATCAGTTTATGTGTCTCTGAAAAGCACAGCTATTGTTGTTAAAGTTTCATAATAACAAATGAAGTTTTAGTCTGCATGAATCAGCTGTTAACCACATTGTAGGTAGTGCATAAGAGATAATACTAATACCAGAGGTGATCAGCGATCCCACAGAAGTTTTACATTCATTAATTTTTTTTTAAAAAGCTGATCAAGTAAAATGCAGTATTTGATGATGGTGAATGCATTTCTACATTGATTTAATTAAAATCAGACATGAAAAGTAACAAAAGATATCAATGAAAAAAAAGTCAATAAACAACAAAGCTGCAGCAAAAGCACAGTAGAATGAAAACATAAGAGAAGATACACAGCTGCATTTAACATGATGGTCTCCCAGTATCCAGCTGCAGAAATAAATCATACTTCAAATACATGTACCACAGCTGTAAAATACATATTTAAAAAACAAATAAGATCAGCAAATGACCTATTTTAATATGCATATGAACACAAACACTGATCAAGTGAAGGAAAAATGTGAGAAAAAGAATCCTCTGAAATTTTTCATTCACTAACTAGCTGGCAATCATCAAATTACTTGGTTAAAGGCATTTATTAGAGGTTTTTCTAAAAAGTGTAAGCAAATCACTCCCTTAAAAAGACTTGTTTTGGATTTCTATTTTCTTTTGATTGGAATTCACTTCCTCTCAGTCTTATCACCAGATAAGTGCACTGGTTCTAGAAGCTAGGTACCTTTTCTCCAGGAATAAGTTGCTGAAATACTCCTGGCAATTGCAATAGTTGCTATTTTGTGTTATGTCTACAATTTCTGCCACTATGGGAAATATATGTGGACAATTACTGAGTGGTTGAGGTTGGATGACCTCTCCAGAGGTCATCTTGTCCAACCACCCTGCTCAATCAGGGCCACCTACAGCCAGCTGCCCAGTTCTCTGTCCAAACAGCTTTTGAGTATGTCCAAGATGGAGATTCCAAAACCTTCCAGGGCAACCTGTGCCAGTACTCTGTCACCCTTCCCAAGGAAGCACATCCAGTGATATTAAAAGCCAAAGTACAACAGTTAAGCTCTGCAGTTGCCAAGCCTCTGATTCAGACACAAGGCCTTTCAAACTCATCAAGATCATGCCACTCCAGCTCATCACCATCCCGCAGTTTCGACTCCTTGAGAAATAAATTTATATTCTCATCCACTCACACATTTTCCTACAACACATTTGGAACTCTGCACCCTGTTTCCCACCCATGCTTGATGATGTTCTAGGTACCTCGTTAATCTTAATTTGTCGAAGTTCCTCTTCTGCTGCAGTCAAAGGTGCAGGGGAGGATTGTGATATCAAATATTTTTTATATCCATTCAGAGAAACATCATCCTGAAAGCACAATATCAATATTGATCATTTTTTTAATAATAGAAGTTTTCTTCAGAGATTTTCTATGCACCATTACAAAAAGCAGTTATTTTCCATAAATTTACAACCATTTTATTTAAACAGAATACAAGTGTAAGTGCATTTGCAAATTCAGCTCATCTTCCTGTACAAGAGAGTCCACTGGGCTGTTCTTGTTTTACGATGGGCAGCATTTCCACAAGCTGTGCTTAATTACCTTCCTAATTAAAGCATTAGAACTAATGAAGACTGTGTCCATGAAATTCTTCAGCCATATTGGACAAAACCTCACAGCATTGCCACAATTTTAATAAATAATAAAACACCCTATTTTCTAATAAAATTTACATGCTCAGATTGGTAGCTTATTGCTAGTTTTCTACCTGTGAAATGGGAGACAGAAATGCTACCCTACGTTAGGGAGTAAGCACCTGATACTTACCTGATAGTTTAGGATGTGACATCACAGGAGCCTTTAATTCTGACAATCACTTATGTTCTTACTCAGAGATAGCTGTGTCCCTCTACAAAGAGGTTGATACCACAGGCAAATATTTATTTTTTTTTTATTATTATTAAGGTGGCCACTCAGAAAAGGGCAGGACTTCATGTGAATGGGATTTTATAATAAGTTCTGAGGAGAAAAAGAAAGCTCCTTCTTAGAGCTTCCCCTTCTAAAAGAGACAGACTTTCCCAAATACAATTTCCAGAGTCAATATTCCATCATGCCTTGTTTCAGAAGGCCAGAGGTACTGAGGTTAATACATGTGAATTAGCAGCTGGGACCATAACCAAGTTCCATCAGGATTAAGGAGCTGGTTGCAAATAAACCATCCTTATGTGAAACAAAAAAAAGACAAAGTAACACGCTGGATGGTGATGATCAAGATCCTGAGTGAACCTACAAGACTTGAATACCTTGAAGAAACTGTGATTTTCACATGGTTGTACATTAAAGACCAGCTACAATTAAGAAGTTTATAAAACACTGAAACCAACAATTTAGAGATATATAAGCTACAATATAATGAGCTTGGAAAAAGTGAGTTACATCAACACCATCCTCTATGTGCCCCAGGCCTATTTTGAAATAACAGCAAGACAAATGTAATGCTCCTTTTTCACAACTGAGATGGAAACTCAGACTTGTAGGGATAGACACAGATTCTACATATTGCATAAAGTGCTAATGGTTTGGTCCAAGTGGTGGTGAGAGATTAGTTGACTGAACAAGCAAGAAAAAAATAACATGACCTCTACCAGTAAACCCTCTTAGCAACTCAGTTATCTACTTCCCTAGAATACACCCTCTCCGGAGAGGTTGGTTTGCATGGTTGTTAGGATAATGAAGCCTCCATGACAGGTTAATGCTAAATATAACAAACTACTCAATGAGCAGCAGAATTATTAGCCTCATGTCCACAACAACAGCCCATCTCTCTTTCACAGCTTTTTTCCCACTACAATATCCTCTATTCTTCCCCAAACTTCCAACTCCTTCCATTCCTTCAGCACCAGCTGCCTGTGTCAATAGCGGCAGTGCTTTGGTTCAGATTTTTTCAGATGAACTAATTAACAGGTCAGACAGAAAATAACTGATGCAGTCTTTGCTGAAAAAGGAACTGAGTAATTGTAATTTGAATCTCTACATAATCATCAGTTCTTATGAAAACTATGGGAATTCCTTATCTCTGAGAATTCTAACTTGTATTTCTTTTAAAACTGGCAATGGATTAAGAAGTCAAAACTGTCTGACATCTGCCTGACAAACAGGTATCACAACCATGTAAAACTTGTTTCTCACAGAAACTAAGGTAATAGTCCTGTATTTCCCTACCTGCACAGCACTTGCAGCCTTTGCAACATCCTTTAGACACTTGTTAGATTTCATACATGCACCTTCCAATTATCTTACTAGAAGTGAGCAGTCAACTCTTAGTATTTCCATTGAACAAATCAGTAGCTACTAAAAGTCTGTTTCCCGAAGTTAAGATGGCAGCCTTGCATGTGAGGCACATTCTGTGGCCAAATTCTAAAGAACTGACAACTTTATAGCCTTAGTTTAAGGAAACAAAACATTTGTTTTCAGGAGTTAACAGCTTACAGATCACTGTTCTAGCCTATCCAGAGCCACATATTTAAAGTGTCTTGTGCATACAACTGGCCTAGAAGTTAGTGTTACAGCTTTTAGAGGACTCACTTACATGCAGTGAGATTAAGAGATGTGCCTATTATTCTTAGATTATGTAGTTTTCATAACTGACTATTTGAATCAAGGGCTTCTTAGCCTGAAGATATTACCTATACTTAGCGACTTGTCCAAATAAGATCAAATACACTTGAACATTGGAATAATACACATAGCTTTTAAGTCTTTTTCCTTAATCAAAAAAGAGCAGAACCCCCCCAAATTCACATCAGTAACATCAGCTAGTATATTTAGTATTTAAACTCAGAGTCCTGACTTTAAAAAGAAAAACATACCTGTACCGTTCCAAATACTTCATCCTTAATGTGACCACCTCCAAATTCTTTCTTAAGTGTTGCTCGGGTTGCTGCATATAACATTTTTTGACGAACCTAGCATATAATAAAACAATGGGGGTTTGATTTGGGTTCTTTCTTGTTCTTTGGTGTACAAAGAGAAACTAACATGTTGGTGTACCAAGTCCATCAACTAATATCTTTCTTGAACAAGTATTTTAAATGTTGGAACTGCACTGTAATTTTGTAGAGCTCTGGATTATGATACTTACACATGCTATTAAATTCACCAGGTCATAATACTATGCATTATTATCATAGTAATTGCAAAACTGAATTGCAGCTTTAGTAAGAGCACGAGGGTTTTTTTAAATGGAAAAAAAGTCAACACAATCTTTACTAATTTTAAATGGGAAAACCCACAATTGTATAGATCTCTTGTCACTGGTCTGTGTATTAATGGATACTACAG